GAACACTAACCCTGGATTCTACCCATTCTCTGGCTTGTTGTTTTCCCTCAGGTATGAAGTATTGGATGCATGTTTCATTAATTGTCACTACTCGACTCTACTCGCTTACAGTCAGTTAGATTGTGCATAAATATTTCCAAACAATGTTTTTTATTACGAAATCACTGTCGTTGTCGGTTTTGCTCAATTGTGAGCAAACGCGGCACCCATACCCATCTTGTCGAAACCTTTCTCATACTCAAATATTCATGTAAAATATTCTATACACTTTCAATTTAATTTTTAGATCATCCAACACAATATCTTGAATTTTTTCAATGTTTTTTTTTTGCAGTTATTACCTCTTTTGCACGACTCGGGCGATCTTCATCTAAAACGTTTGTACAACTACGTTTAAATGGGAGAATTTTATTACAAAACGATATTCTATTTATTCCATTTTATAAAAAATCACACGAGATATAATTAATTTTGATCTAGTCTTGCCATCTGTTGTGAAGACAGATAATTGTTAATTGTTAATTCTTTCGGTATAACCATACAAACATTCTACGTCGTTCTAGAACTTAGAATGTCTTACTCTTGGAAATTAAAGATCTAATTATTTAGGTAGCATTTATCATATTAAGACAAAAGTAAGGTTTATTTATTTATTTATTTATGTGAAAAAGTTGTACAAAATCCTAGGCAAATAGACTTCAAGATTGATCCGATCAAACAATATCTAAAGGATAGAACCCGCGTTATCGAACCTCAGATTAGTTACAGGCGCCTCGGGGAGGTATGCAGATCTGAGGTCAATTATTGCTTAGTCTGATGAAGTGATAAACAATGACCCAGTCAAGGCGTAAAGAGGGATTTTGAAGATACCTCGAGTTAATAGTGAGTAAAGTGCTCACGTCTACTGGCTCAAATACCTTCAACAAAATAATAGAATTTAAATATTTTTGATTAATATTTAGTTTTATATATATTACACATCTTTCTAATAGCATCTTTTTGAGGTCTGAAAATAAGTAGGAGTCATTGAGGACCAGACTTACAGTCAACTTAGTCAACTTTTTATAAGTTTTTCGCTTGATGAGTTTCTATTTAAATAATAACTAAATTTGTAAAAACTAATTAAAATGAGAATTTGACAGCATTTATAAACACAGCGATGAATCTATTTAAATACTTTTAAAACCTAATTGAGATTAAACTAAAATCTAGTAGCATTTATAAACAAAACCCCAAACTACTAAAATAGTTGGATTTACTAGTTCGTTTCAAAAACTGATTTGTCTAGCTTTTAACTTCTAAACTCTTTGGCTTAGAATTTCTAATGCTAATTTTTCGAATATTGATTAGAATTAATTACCCTAAAAACATTAAGGTTTTAGTCAGGTTTTAAGGTTCTGAACCCATTAAAACTAAAATACTAAAACTTAAAACTAAAAGAAAACGAAAATAAAAGAATTTTAACTACATATGGGTCGTCCTTTTATAAATCGGATGGATTTTGACAAAAAATGATTTCATCACCTCCGAATTGACTGAATTCTATATAAAAATGAAACTTTTCAGGACGTTATTGTTCTCAGAAGTATTTTTATTAATTAATATAAATTAGATTCCTCTCATCTCTATTTTTAAATCACGAATTTAAAATGACCAATTAAAAATGTATCTACAATGCTAATTGTCAAAACCCCATGGGTCCATATCTCCTAGGAAAAAAATTTCAATATTTTTTAAAAAGAGCTTATAAAAAAAAAATATAGCCAAACCGGAGATGATGAGGTGAAAAAGATATACGATTTGTGAAACAATGACCCATATACAATATGCATCAAGATTACATATATAATGTTTAGTATAACAAAACAAATAATAGCAGTTTTCAGAGTCAAGTAAATCACGTTTGCAGAGGACCTCAAAGCAATCATTCTAAACAAAAAACCTAGAGAATTGATGGACTATAAGCAAAAATAGTAATGAATTGTATAGTACTCGTATTATATTGAACTATGACTGTCTATATCTATCTATTCAAAATACAGTGAGCGAACTAATGGCGCTACTTAAAGTAGGTAAAAAACACCTATACGGCCTATAGTAAAATATTTTAAATCTTTTACAATATGTTATACGAGTATTTATAGCTGACTTATTTGCACGCATATGAATTAAATACTACTTGTAATTATAATATAATTATAGAAAAATATATTCTTTATGGATAGTATTTCAATGTTCTATTATCGATAATAAATAATTAAAAATAATCGATAAAACATACATTTGAAATGTGACGGAATATTTTAGAAGGTTAAATTACCTATCACAAATAGAAATCAATAATCTATTTACAAGTACAAGGCGATTAAAAATTCATATATTATTTGAACAATTTAAATTTTATGCAAAATATTTTAACGTTATAAATTATTTAACTTATTATAATTATTTGCATCTTTCGTATTACTGTAAGTAATAGGTACATTAAATTTGTTAAGATAATTATTGTAAAGTAATGGCGATGGCTTCGAAAATCATATAAATCACTAATGTGCTTATCGGGATAACCAGACGATTAATTATTTCCTTGCTAATGAGCAAAGCTATGGGAATAAAAGTATTGGCAAGGCAATAGTACAGCCACTACAATATTTTGCAGTACATACATTCAAAATATCTACCTCTCTGTTATTGAATACTCATCAATTAAAAATAAGAGAACTTTCTAAGGTTGAGACCATTTTTCATGTCCACACTTGGAAAACAACTGTATGAAGGTTTAGACATAAAAAAGAATTTTCGCAAGTCTGGTGTCTCATTTATTAATCCCAAACCTAAAATTTGATTGCTTCAATATTTCAAAGACTATTCTAGGACGATATGGATTCATAATTGTTGATGAAATGTGAAAACACTACTATATATATATATATATATATATACATAAAACAGTGAATTTAAAATGGTCAAGGATAATGTTTTATAGAAAAACAAGAGCGTGTCGCCAAGATAGGTGCCAAAGGCCAAATCGATGACTAACTTTTGAACATGATAATGTGCAGACAGTAATAACTAACAATTGAAACCAGATTCCGGATTTGATGATATTTTTTGGAAATTGTACAGCTCTTTATTTACTTTATTATTTGAATAATCTTTTCTATTTCGAAAATATGAAATTACGGTAATACATAATCACAGTTGTATACCATATATCCATATCGGTTTCAAGATTTATTCATGTGTTTTAGATTGACAGTTTGGGTTTATAGCAACTAAGATTACTTATATTCTTTAATCTTTCGATTGCACTTGTCTACTTCTAAAACAACAATTTATCGCATTTTAACAAAGCATTTAGGCTACTGAAAAGTAGCCACAACTTAATCAACATATGTGGATTGACGACCTAAATTTGCTCTCATCAAACAACTATTTGGATAAGAATTGTATTGATACTGTGAATTCCTTTAGAACTATGTCATACAGAGTGTTATAGTCACGTCAAATCAGAAGTTGTTATTGTTTTCAATGTAAATCAATAAATTGAAAATGAGAGTATGAGAGATATTATAATTAAAATTTAGTCACGATGACGAGGCTTTCTGTCTCCTGTCACGTTGGTCAAAAACAGTGTTGCTCAGTAATAAATGTCATGTAAATGTAAATATATATATATACAAATATATATGTAAGCATATCCATATAAAAATAATTACTTTTTGCATTTAGACACAAAAAAAATTACCAAAATAATAGTAAAATTAGGAAATTGACAAATTTGATATGACTCTCTGTATAACATGCCTTTTGATAATAACCATTCATCATATGACTGTCTATATAATTTGGCCCATACGTAACTGATTTGATATAATACCATCTACACCTTTTCGAAACAATGTATTTCATGATAAAGGAAAAGTATGTTTGGATGTAGACTCCATCTAAACGGCGTGTGTCGAGATCTTGAAGTACTTTCACTTTAGTGGTGACAACCTTCAGTTTTAAAATTTAGACAGTACATCAGTATAGAATCTATTTAAGCTACACATGTAATAGCTGCACTATTATATCCAATAATATATTTATCAATTAAAGGACAGTATTTCAAGATATAGAAGCCATCCAAAAGATTTGTATTGACATCATGAAATGCTATTATTTTAGGTGCAATAACTCCTTTTATATTACCTCAAATTTTTTAAAACTTAGTTAGCACATCGTGGCTATAAATACCTAGGTGTTGTGTTTAGCAAGAACAATCTATCAATGACTACATTAAAAGATTGAGTACAAGCTGGAAATAAAGCCTATTATGGATTAAAACGTCTAATTACAAGTAATCCGATAGTGTATGTCTTGATTGAGGGACTTGTATTAACATCCTGAAATGCTGTCATTTTAGGTGCAATAACTTATTTTTATATCCTCACATTTATTAAACTTAGACAGCACATTAGTGAAGAATCCGACTCATGCATGTAATAGATGAACCATTACATCCGACAGTTTAATTCTTGATGAAGAGAAAGTTTTTTTTGGATACAGATACAAGCTAATAGGCTTGTATCAACTTTCTGAAGTACTAACACTTAATGTACAATAACTCCACAGTATACCTCGAAATATTTTAAAATCTAGATAGTACATCAGTGAATACTTCGACCCACACATGAAATACTTCAAATTGCTATTATTAAGAGTAATCCTATTTATATTAGAATATAATTTGTATAAGAAACTTTTTTTGTTTTAAATAATTTTATGAATAATGCAAACAATTTAGCATTGATAATTTAATTAAAAATAAATGAAACTAATTTTTTTTTCAATACTGTGCCTTATAAGATTGTGAGCATTCGTAATTGAATTAGCAAGACTTGAAACAAGTTATTTCGTTGTTCCAATACAGAATGCAAAAGATGTTAGATACAAAAATTTTAATATACATACATAACCTAATTAAAATCATAAAAACAATTTCATATATTACTTACAAAGTGCCTCTAAGCATTGTCCTTGTGGAATAATAAGTAACCAAATATTGAATAATAAGGATGCTATGAGGAACCATTTCAGACCACCGCGCCGTTGCTTTATGGAATAAGTATGGTATAATTTTTTCAGTACAGACAATGGCAGTTGTACTGAATTGCTGGGAGGACCGACAACAACATCATCCTCGACAATCATCAGAGATTTCCGTTTACTACCAGCCCGACTATTGGCATGGCCATGCTGTACACCATTCTCAATGTTGTCTGTATGCATCAACTCAGTCATGACGAATTATAAACACATCAAAAATTTTTTATTTAATATTTGATTATTTTATTTATACATATGTATGTATGTATATATGTATGTATATCGATAAGCCAAAAAAGCAATTAGGATCTCGGACCCAATTGCAATGTCGCTTGACGCAGTTGAATATGCATATGTTATATATATATATGTATATATTTATTTTAGTTTTGTATTCGTCTTTTCACCACCGCACCGCACCGCACCGAAGCATTCCACACATACCACATTCAACAGTACTTTTATGTTTTAAAACAAATAAAATAACAAGTATCCGTTAACAAGGAATACATGACTATAATTCATCGGAAATTAGATTCGTTGCTGCAATGCGTTGGAAACTATTTAAGTCCATGGTGAATGGATTTTATATTAATTTCTGCTAAATTTAGTTGTATGCTAGGTACTTGCACCGAAACACCAGCGAACACGATAATATAATAATAAAAACAGTTTGGGTGGTGGGGGAAGCTATCTGAACGCCCCACAGAGTTAATGAAAATTCTATTTAAATCAACACTTTCTGTAAATTGCCTTTCTTCATACGGAATTAAATGTACATTTTTTTTTTTGTTTTACAACTCCCCACAATAATAAAAAAATCTAGACCCACATCTGAACGGATTGGCTTTCGTTTAATTTTATGGCAATTAGCTGCCTATAGCGCGTCTCAGCTGTTATGCTCGTAAACAATTTAAAATTGCAGAGCAGTTAACCGTTAATTTTATGAGAGTAATTACGCGCCTTACTCTATTCCTTCTTAACACTTACTCTTTTTTGCTATGGCTATTGCTTTCGTTTTTGTTTTTGTTTTTGTATTTGTATTTGTAAACTCTATTTGATTTTGATTGAATGTTGTTGTTGGTTGTTCTTGTTTGCGAGCTTTTCCAAATTATATTTGCTAGGATTTTCAAGTAAGCCACAGCCTGCGTTTATGTGCGCTGTGTTGTGTTGTGCTGTTGTGCTGTGTTGCATATGAAAAAATTACTTAATTTTCTCTACGAAAGCTTAGTGCACACTGAGCTTTCGCACCTATGAAAACACACTTATGCGCACACCACACCGCACCGCAGCTCACATCATACAGTGTCTCTGACAACTTCAATATTGCCTTTGCCTTGCCTTTGATTTGCTCTTCTGCAATGCTGCATGTGCTCTTATCCACAATCAATCTTCAAATGTATTTGTTTAAATGCTGTTAAATGTATTTTAAGGTTACTCAAGGTCCGTTATGTTGTGTTGTGTTTTTTTTTTTTTTTTGTAACTTATTGGCATTTTTAATTTAAACACATAATTAACAACAGTAAAACAGTACCAACAACAACGTGTCATATTGTCATATTGTCAACAAGCAACAACAGCGAGGCACCCAGCAAGTGGGATTCGCCTTTGGTAAATACAATAACAAAAAACAGAAAAGAAAAAAGAAAAAATAAAAAACAACAAAAAGAAACACAACTAGTACGTATAAAAATGCCGTTACAAAAACGCGTTTACGCGCACATCTCCCGCAATTTGACTTGAGGGTGGATGAGATGAGAAATTTGTTTGTATATGCCCAAAATAAGAAGTTTTTTTAAAGCTTTCAGCACCGAAAAGGGATGTTTTTGTTAGGAACCGAAAGTAACATAAGTAGGAATGCAATTTGCAATCGCAAATTTAATTATCAAATTCAGTTTCAATCAAGCAATTTATACGAAAAGTAACAAATCCAAAATGTTGCTAGCAACAACAACATATCGCTTTTCCCCCAACCCCACACCACCTCCCCACCCACACATGCAATTGCTATCCTTGCTTGTGCATTTTCAATGAATCGCTGGCCTTCCACAAGTACAAGTACAAAACAATCAACTCAACGCAAGCCACAATGTATTGGTTTTGTTTGGCAAGTGCATTTCGTACACAACAAAAATTTATATGCATTTTTTTTTTTGTTTATTTTTTATTTTTGATTTTTGAATTTTAATTTTTGATTTTTAATTTTTGATTTTTAATTTTTGATTTTTCCAATGATTGTTCAAAGTTTATATTAATAAACAATTTACATATTAGCACAATCAGTAATCAGTAATCATATAACTTGCATTTATTTGTTGCTATAATAAATGATTTGTGTATTATTTTTTATATGCCTTTTTTTCTTTTAGGTTTATTTTAAACATGTCACTAAATTTTGACCGCTTCGTTGTCCGACTACAATGTTAGGTTTCTGCTAAGCAATTTCAAACGAACGACTAACAGCTACCATCCAAAATTTGACAGTAAACACTAACATAGGAACAGCAAACACAGGACGCAGGCACTCACTTTCGTACGTTCCGTTTGTTTCGTTTGTTTCGTCACTCTTCGAGTAATTGTATTAGTAAAATTTTGCGGAAAAGCTTTGCGCACAAAAAGCTAAAGCTCTTAGTGACAACCAGATATGGAACTTTCATGACGTGCTTGCAAGGAAACATTGAACAGCGCTTTGTGTGCGCTTGTGGAACTTGACTTGAAAGCTGCGTAATAGTTGAGCTTGAAGGAGCGTTTTTCATTTATTGACCGTTTACGTGATAATTCGATCTGTAATCAATGTATCCTAGGTAAATCCATTATTCGAATGCGGTGAAAAAGACCCACAACATAAGTTAATAATAATATAATATAATATAAACACAGCAAGTGAATTTGTTAAAAAAAATAGTTACGAGTATATCAAGTCCTTCTCATACACTTAGTCACTTAGTTCTAATAATAAAGCTCAGAACCTTTTATAAGACAACTGTGTCTTGTAAGTTTAGTCAGTTTTTAAAAATGAAAACCTTTGAGAAAGTTAACCCGTTGACTGGAAAGAAACGGACAATCAAACAATATCCTCTGTATTGTCTGACGCAGTTACACAGGCAGTTAGAATACTTAGCTATATAGCAGATGATTTCAAAGTATGAAGTACTCTCCACTAACGCAGTTATTGTATGCCTAATAAATCATAGAGGTCAATTAATAATTAACAGCAAATTAACAAAACTCCAGAAAAATGTTGCAACATACAAGTCAAGTAGGTTTTGAGTCAAATGGTTAAGGAGCGCTGACTCCGAACTTCAAATTTGGCAGGGCACAAGTTCGATTCCTGGTATTTGCAGTATCAAAGAAAAATTATTTACGAATAATTAAATACAGGAATTATTTTCAAGACCAGACCACTGATGCTGGGTATTTGGCAATAATCAAAACAGCTGTATGGTCAGTGAAAAATTCAATTAATTAAAATAATGTAAAATAAATTTTTGTTGTTGTAGTTCGAAAAACTTCTTTATAAGTTAGTAAATAAATTTTGTATTTATTTCTCGATCTTTTTTTTTAAATAATGGTTTTTATATATATTTTTCAATCGGTTATAGGTCACTTTTTTTAAAATTAAAATTTAACGTTTGTTTAGGCCGTGTGCGAGTTCGACTAAATTGAGATAAAGTAAATTAAAATTTTCTAAGATTTTTGCAATGTACTTATATAAATATTTATTTGTTTATTTATTTATTGCACTTATCTATTATTTTTGTTTAAAAGTTTTTAAATTTATTTATTAAGCATCTTATTAAATTTTTGCAATAGTAACACCTAATTTAATAATTTATCCTACTCGAAATTCTGGTAAATACTAACATTCACTGCCATATCGACATAATTTACTATTTCCCTCAATTTAATATTTTTTAATGACAAGAGCATGACGTTTAGTTATATATTTTATTAATATTAATTTATGTTATATCCTGATCCTCATGATGACTCAAACGAAGAGTCAAAATAAAAAATATATCAAAATATATTAAATGTTGAATTTTAATTTTAACAAAAGTGACCTATTAAATATATAAAAACCATTATTAAGTTAGTAATTATGATAAGATTGTAAATTACAATCATTAAGTTGTTAATAAATTATTCAGATGTCAGTGCTGTAAAGATAAACTTTAGGATGTGGTAGTATTATTGGGAGAAATATATAGATAGGTAGGTGATGAAATAAGATGAAATATGAAATAATGACCCATTGTGGTACCACAGGAATTGTGTTAGTACGTACGTAGATTGATAGATCAAAATACGATCAACGCCGAAAAAGGTAACGAGTTCGCCGTAGGTAAAGGAAAATCAACCAGACAGTTCTATAAATTTAACTCAATCCCTAATATCACAGTATGACAGCTCGAGTAGATCGGTAAGAAAAGGGGTCCCAAAGATTTTAGATCTTCTTCTACCTACAAAAGGACACTGACACATGAGATGAAGCACGGCCTCATCCTCAGAGCCACAGCCGACAACAAAAGTCATTATAGGGTAGACCCAGTCTCATAGCATGCCTTCCTATTTCGCAATAGCAAGTCAGCATAGATACCGTGGTGCTGAGCAGGTTCCGCCTTTGTTGACCTGAGTTGGTGATTCATTATTCTTACCTGGGGACAGTTTTAAATCACACTAAGAATAACTGAATGTGGGGGCTTTATGAAATGATGGATCTGAAATGATGGCAGAGCTTATGAACCCATCTCTCAAAACAGACAGTGTAAAATCCTTTTTTAATATCAGCACATACTTCCGTAGTGGGTTACTTGTTGATGAATCTCGTTTTGGAGATGATGTAGTTAATTTAATTGCAATTATTATTAAAATAATAATTAGATTTTGATCAATAAAAACATTATCTTAACAGTATATAGCAGTGTATTTATATAAAAACTTTATCTTATAACATATATTCGGCATGTTTGATAACTCTGGACTATAATACGTAAATTTCTTATTCTTCTAATTAAATATAATATCTTACTCTTGATGTTGTGTGCTCTTGATATTTATTCTTTTTTATATAAATATACTAATATTTATTACATTAGTATATTAGTGTTTTTAATTGGTTCAGGTATTTGATAAAAATTATATCAAACAATTAATCTCCAAATTTATCTGACTTGAAATATGTTTAAGAACAGAAGTAAATTATTTCTTATTCTCTTCATTATAATTTATAAATTTACAGTGCTCTCTTGATTTTACAAATTTGCACTTTTTTTTAAATTGGTTTATGTACGTGGTAAAACTGCTTTACAAAAAATTAATCTG